TTTTCGAATTAAAATATGTACACGCACAATTATTCGTTCACTTACATATACACTCATTCATACACCACACACATACACTTACACATACACACTTACACACACGCACTTACACACACGCACTTACACACACTTACACACACACATAATCATTCGCACACCTACACGCACAACGCTTACACACATACGCTTACGCACACGCTTACTCACACACTTACACACACACTTACACACGCACGTACAGACACTTGCGCTCACACACACAGACAGACATTAGCACGCTATATATAGTATTTCGTTTAGTAAAATGGAGATTATCCTACTACCTCTCTATACATAAAACGCTGACTTTGAATGTCTGTTTGTATGTCGATTTGTGTGTCTGTCAGCAGAAAGCCACGTAGGCACGATGGCTGCCTGCTTTCGTAGTCCGCCGGCTGGCGAGCCGGCGACCGAGTGCGCCGGGCGGAGGTAGTGCTAGCCGTGTAATTGACCGAAAATTCATAACTCCTGTACCCCTGAACCTAGAACGTTCGAATTTGGCGGAGGCACAAGCGGCAGATGAGAACGCTGATGGTCGGTAGTAGGAAATGGTAATAATTGATAGGAGGGAAGCTCAGGAGGCAAATGCCTTAGTGTCCGTTGCTCACATCACGTTAACGGTGGTGCCTTGGCACTTGGTAGGTGGCGTTGCATGTGAAGAGACAGTGAATGATTTTCGACTGGGGTTTCTAACATCTGGTCATAACTAACAAAGAGCTATATAGGGCGAGCATGATAGCGTTCGCATTTTTGATAGGTGATATAGGATGTGAGGAGATCCTAGCTATTCAGTGGCTGGAATTGATAGCAGCGGACAGCGACCCACAATAGACTGTAAAAAGATGGAGGCCACGTTCTTCATGTAAACAGTGGAACCTTACCACTTTGGTGGTGACGAAATCGAGGACGGTTAATGCAGAAGCTAATAACAACTGCTAAGAGCTATCAACAAATCTTAAAAGGGGAAGCCACTAGAACATTTGCATTAATAGTGCAGCGTTGACGTCTTGATATGTTTGGTATGTGATATAACTGGTGGGTTCGTTGGTGGCCGAGGAACGGATAAGAATCGATAAGAGCTGATAAAGGGGAGGGGTGGGGGCAAGAACCACCTCCTAATAAAAATTCCAACGCCTTCGATATTTACAATACCAGTCGGGCCGCCCGGCTAACGCCGGCTTCCCTCCCTCTTATGGTGTCTTATCCGAAGGTATAGCAAATTCCTTACAAAAAGGGAAGGCGAAAGGAGAATCCGAAGGTATAGCAAGAAATGGAAATTCCGAAGGTATAGGAAAAGGAGAATCCGAAGGTGAACAAGAAAAGGAGAATCCGAAGGTATAGCAAGAAAAGGAGAATCCGAAGGTATATTAAAAGGAGAATCCGAAGGTGAACAAGAAAAGGAGAATCCGAAGGTATAGCAAATTCCTTTTGTAAGGAATTTGCTATACCTTCGTATTCTCCTTTTTCTTTGGAAGCTCTACACCCTATCAGCTCCGAATTGGGAGCAATTTTTTTCTGTATTATAATTAATTATATATTAATTAGTAGTCTCGATTTATTGCTCTCCATCTCGAAATTGTGTCGGATTGATGGCTTAACCTTTTGACGACAATGTCACCCACCGGTGGGTAACACTATGACTGGCACATGGGATATTGCCACCCAATTTTGGGAGCCACCATATTTTCTTGTTTCTTAACAATTGCTGAATTCAGTAAGCCAGTAAAAGAAGTTTCTCCTGGGACAGTGCCACCCACCGGTGGATGCCAATCGAGCGCGAAAGTAGGGGAGCGTGGTCCCATGGGCGCGTCAAGTCGAAATCCGCATTGTCGTCAAAGGGTTAACTGATTGACAACCAATGTTTTGAATGGTACCCAGAGATGGATAATAACGCCTATCACAGATGTCGTTATCAGTGGAACATTTTCTCTACGAAGTTTCATTAATTGGAAAACACTGGGCGTGCGCGATAGAAATTTTAGGCCGCAAATTCATAACTCCTGTTCCAGTGGACCCAAAGCGTTCCAAATTGGTAGCAGTACAGGGGGTGACATGGAAACATTTGTGGCAGGTGGTAGGACCAGACTCCGCCCACAGGGGGCGGGGCGTGCACGGTAGAACTTTCAGGTCGCAAATTCGTAACTCCAGTTTCCGTTGACCTAGAAAGGTCAAATTTGGCAGGAGTACAAGGGGCAGCATGGAACCACTTATGGGAGGCAGGAAGATCGAACTCCGTCTACAGGGGGCGGGGAGCGCGCGATAGAAGTTTTAGTTTGCAAAATCATAGTTCCTGTTTACGTGGATGGTCAAATGAATGTGGCAGTCTATAATCCGACGAGAAACTAACGCTGGCTAATCGATGTATTTTGTAATGGTGTAATCAATCTGCGAATGTTAGTGTGGATTTTCCTCTACAAGATATTTCAGTGGTAATCGTGTTGTGGATATTATTGGTTGCGGCACGCTCCATAGCTCCACGGGCCGATAAGATTCTCTTCTGTGTCCTCTACTCACTGAATCCGAATGCGGCTCTCCACTATGCTCTTAAGACATTTGCCGACTACAAACATAGCGGAAGTAAATTAGCTGTGCTCGATGTGTGCCTATTGGATGTGACCATAATTTTAGATCTCGAACTGTCGTGGTCTAGAAGCTTTGAAGGTTTCACACACCATTTCACCCCTGGAGCAGCGTTGGTAATGCTGCTAGTGGATATAATCTGGATGAGCATTGCAACGCTGTTTTTTGATTCCATGTTCAGTGATAGCGACTTCACGCTTTTCAAGCTACTATTCGGCAGAAAGGTTTTTCCACGTTATCATTTGTTGCATTTTCAATAATCCTTCCAATCAATACTGTTCGATCAGTATTCTTGAGTAGTATCAGACTCCATCGTTATTTTCAGTATCTGAGTGGGTCTGTCACCAGTCCGGAACAGAATGATAGTAACAAAGAGACCGACGAAGGTTTGTTGAAAACGCAAGCAGGTATTTCGGTGCGACGCCTTGTCAAGGTCAGACTTCACGTTTGTAGCATTTTAAAGGTTAAATTTTTTCGATTTTCTTCAATCTTCAAGTTTTTCGAGATCTATGTAGGAATGCTTAAGTATGTTCGGGGTTTCCGGCTTCTTGTCCTGAAGGCTTGATAGTAAGTACAGTACTCACCGCAAAAACTCGAAAATTCGCGCGAATGCCTCGAACTCGCGCCTTTTTCGTCTTTTCTCTATATATCGGTTCAGAGTGTAGTATTCCCGGAGCAAAAGNGAGCTCTTCAACCGTTTCGTTACCAATCGAGTTTAACTCTTCCATCCATTTCGCTATTTCAACGTGAAATGTTCTAAAGATTCACCTGTGCAACAGCCGGCATTTCCTTGCCGCTGAAAATTTCCTCTTTTCTAAGCCAATCCCACTCACCCTTTGCAAACCCGACCGGATTCGCATTTCTACATGGTGCGCCCGTAAGCCCACGCAGCTTTCTTTCTTGCGCGATTGGCATCCACCAGTGGCTGCTGTTGTCCCAGAAGAAAAATGCTCCCGTTGGCTTGCTGAATACAGCAATATCTCTCAAAGATGCAGGAATCAAAATTTCATTTCAGAAATGGAATTATCTATAAGCAATGTAAGATAGGATTTTCGAAATAATGAAGGAAAGCGTATAACTTCGAGCTTCTTGAGGATCAGTTTGCTTTGCAACTGCCGTGCTGAGAATGAGAGACCGGACGGTCATATGATCGAGAATCAAGTTTTAATGTCTGCAATGCTTCTGGATCGTACACAGATCTTGAAGCAGAGTTCACGACAATTTTGATGTATCTAATTCAGTCGAATAATGGAAGTGGTAGCCCACAATAGTCTGAAAAGGCGATGCGAGCACGCGAAAATTGTCGTATCTAGAGTAATATAGGGCTTTCAAATGGAAGTAGAATTAGGGGTTGGACAATATGTGATGACAGAAGTAGTATGGAAGGGGTATTTGGTAGTGCGTCCAAACGTGTATGCGGTTGCGTACTACATGCTACACTTGCCTGCCTGCATGTGCATCCCGGTGCGTATGGTGCACCCTCTACGGCCTATACAACGCCGTGAGAACTCATCCGCTTTGGATGTGTATGTCGACTAATCCGTTTTGGGTCTATGATTACGCCCATCTAATCCGTTTTTCCACCCGACAGTGACCCATTGTTTGTCTTTGGAAGTCACGGGTTCATATAAAAAACAAATCTCAAACATTTTTAACGTGAACTGTGCCTCCAGGTTATGTTTCGAAAAAATGAGGATCGGACAGGTTTTGCTAAAAATTGTGTAATATTTCTACGGAATCTTTCAGGTCCCTTATTCACCAATTTTGAGCACTTTCCAGATTTGGGCTTCAACAGGGGAGCGCGCTGTTGACGGTATGTCATTGGAAGCGTATGTTGGACAGGTAGGCATGCTTTTTTGAAGTGCGAGGAAATTGAAATTTCGAGCTAGTAAGGATCTCCTCAAAATTCGCAATGGTTTAGATGACTTTTTTTGCACTACGGTCTAAATGGAATGAGTGGCGTTGAATGGGGTGATGTAGTAAGGCTTAATAAGCGTATTTACTTTTTTTTAACAGTATCATTAAGGTCACTGTACTTCTCGGGCAAAATGGCGCTGGTAAGAGTACCACATTCTCAGTTATATGTGGAATCACCTCTCCTACAGCAGGTACCTTATTATAGAGAGAATATAGAGCACAGGTACCTTATTAGAGAGAAAATATAGAGCAAAGCTCTATGCTTTTTCAGTCCTCTTCCGAGAGGAGTGATTTCTCGGGAACCCTTCCATATTCTGGAAAGATTGTGTCTTCGATAGCAACACTGTCATAGATAGACTTTCGTCCGGTTCAGGAAAGGTCTTCATCTGTGGACTGGACATACAGCAGTATCGATCAGAGTCCCGTAAACGAATCGGTTTGTGCCCACAAGCGAATGCTCTGTTCAACCAACTAACGGTTGACGAGCACCTTTGGCTTATTCATGGGATCAAAGGAGCCGATGGTGACTATAAGGTTGAAGGGCAACAACTGCTTGACCAACTTAATTTGGATGAAAAATCCAATGAGGTGTATTATCGTTTGGTTTCTCCAGAAGCTGTTTGTATTATCGTTCTTCGACTGTTCGTCCTCTAGTGACTAACATTTCCAGCTTGCAATGAATCTCTCCGGCGGTCAGAAGCGTAAGCTCTCCGTGTCGATGGCGCTGATCGGTCACAGCTCCGTGGTGTTGCTGGATGAACCCACAGCTGGTATGGATCCAGGTGCTCGAAGAGATGTAGAGGCGCTTCTGGAAAAGATCAAAGTGGATCGGTCGGTTTTCCATCAAAAACTGCGAACTCCAGGGAGACCTGTAATCTTTGAAAAATATCAGAACAGTTCTGCTCACCACTCATTATATGGATGAAGCCGAACTGCTAGGAGATCGCGTTGCAATCATGGTCCATGGTCGAGTGCACTGCTGTGGTACACTGCAGTTTTTGAAGAGGAGGTCAGAGTAAATACTAACTTGTGATCTATTGGTTAGACTTCTGTTGTATGGGCGTTTATGCAGATTTGGAACCGGCTATGTGATGACGGTCGTGGTTGCTGAGAAAGCAAACACTCAAGATATCGCCGAAACATTAGCTGAGACCGCTGCAAGGTACATTCCCGGGGCCGAAAAAGGGAAGGTGCATGGAAAACAGTTTGAAATCATTCTACCAAAGGAACAGCAAGAAAAGTGAGATTTTCAAAGGGTTTTAATGGCTCCGTATGTTACCATGTTTGCAGCTTTCCACAATTTTTCGAGTACTTGGAAAAGTCCAAGGATTCCTTGAAGATTTCCAGTTTTGGTTTATCACTAAACACATTGGAACAGATTCGTTTTTAATCACTTTTTATTACCCTCTTACCAGGGAAGAATCCCAAGAAATAGCCATTTCAAATATGGCTTGTTCTGCAAATGATGATCTGAAAACTGCTTTCAAATTCAGTCGAACTGTTTGTTGTTTGGGTTGGAAGGTGATTTTAAGTGAGGTAGGCGAAGACCTTTTCACCTGGTTGAACAATGGAACCCTCTACAGTCAGTTACATGGACTTTGTACAAGACAGTCGATTCAGTAGAGTTATGTCAGACTCTCCTCCTTCATATGTCAATTTTGAATGCCTCACTGATACTTTGTTAGTCCTCCTTTTCCTACTCGAAAAAATTAGTAGATAGCAGCATACCTACATCGAGCAGTAAAAATCAGCAGAATCGGTTTCTATTATCGATCGTTACGTTCACGGCATTGATCTCACCACATCTCAGCTTTCTTGGGGTCGGAACACTGCACGACTAAAGGAAACATAATCGCGATTGAGCGGTAAATTACACAATAGATTTATGTAGCATATCGGTGTATCGGCGAACGTCCTCACAGTCCAAATTAGTTATTTTTGTGCAACCTCCGCCCTTAGCGGGTGAAGCTAACTACAGGGTGGGCCAAAATTACGATTACACAAACATCACTGGACATCAGTAGTATATTGAGACTGGGATCTGTTGCTTTCTGCTTTCACCCAACCCCAGAGACGATGATGGACAACATTAGCGGCGGCACGCAGCTAGGGTCATCGAGTTGATCCCAGCTTTTTGCAAGGTACTTTCGAGATTATTTCACTTCATGTTTGGGCTAACGAATGCTCTCATCTCAAAGGCTGACCACACTGAGACATCTATGGGATTTAGGTCAGGGCTCCAGAGTGGTCACTGATCGAAGGTTGTGAAGTCAGAGGACCCCTTTTACGGAATTTCTAGACAATTTCTGATCTGCAATCAGGACATCATCTTGACAATATGTCCAGTTTGAATCGACAAACTGTCTTATTGCGCACGAAGAGATCAAACCGGTCTCCAAATCAACTTTCACTCCTTATTTTACAAAAATAATCGGTGCTTTTGCCTCGGCTGTGACGCTCGCAAAGGATATCGCAGAAAGTGAGCAAGCCTAGCGCTGCATCACTTCCATTTCTTTCAGCTTTATTCAAATCTTGTAGCCCTGCTTATAGGGCACCTTTTTCACTGCGGATATCTCTCCGCCGGTGAATAGGAATCCCGTACGACAATTTTTTGTATGCGGCGGGTTAGCTTGGGTGAGCCAACATTTCTCTTCTTTTTAGTCTGCTCACTGGGGAAATCACTTACTGATCGTATGAAGGCCTTGTCGTGCAGAAAACTTTATGTAATATCCATTCATTTAGTCATTTTGGGCTCAGAATGAATTTCGCTACTACGCAGACCTTCGCCCTGCTTCATTGAAACTCCCACTAAATGTAATCGCAGGCCTCTTAGGATTACCACTCCTATCTGTAATTGTTCCCAACTCCCGAAAGCGTCTTACGGTTGAATGTACCCCCTGCTTAGTTAAGCTGAGTCATCTGTAGATGCACCGTGCCAAACGTGCTTGTAAATGCAAAGTGACGATTTATTCACGGGTTAATTTCGCTTACATTATTTTCAAAATCTACCAAAAGTTCAGTATCATTGGGAAGGTAAAAATGTAATATACCTTGCGAAATAGAAGAAAACGAACGAATTGCTATGATCTCAGAAAAAATTCGTTATGAGCGTCAGCGCGCGCTGTAATCATAATTTTGGCCCGCCCTGTAATATTAGTGTTCCCATCTTGCCGCCTGTATCCCTTTCAAATTTGAACACTCCAGCACCAGGAGAACAGGAGCTAGAGATTTCCGATAAACCACACTTGCGCACACCCCGCCCCTAGTGGGCGGAGCCCAGCTTCGGTCGTGTCCTCGGTCCCATTGTGGATATAAAGGGTAATGTCGTTTCCGTTGATTGATTGCGTCTTTGGGATGCACCCCTCCCCCTTCCACTAGACATTCACTCAGAGTGGCGTTTTTAGTATACCGCCTATTTAATGACTTGCGGTAGCTAGCTAGCGCACAGGTGAGAACACGATCAGTTTCAATGTGGTAACAATAAGCTGATCCGGAGCGATAGGAGGTATGATTTCCTGGTAAAAACGAGTTCCGTATTCGATCTCCTGATAGTACGCCTGCTCCGCTTTCCACTGAACTACTTCCTTCGCACTGTGAATATCCTACTATAGACATATAATCGGCTAAATGTGTCTGTTGGTTTGTCTGTGGGTGTATGTGTGTGTGTGTTCGACCGATACTCTTAACTCTTCTTTCCGTGGACCTAGAGAGTTCAACATGGTAGATATATAGGCGGTAGCATGGGAACTCTTATGACGGGGACAAGACCGGACTTCGCTTACAGGGGGCGGGGTTTGCGCGAAATAAATGTCTGAGCGAAAAATCATGTCTCTTGCCCACTTGAGCCTAGAGCGTTCAAATTTGGGAGGAGTACAGGTGGCAAGATAGGAACACTTATGACGCCAGGACCACACTCGACCTACATAGGCGGAGTGGGGGACGGTCAAGTCGTG